TAAAGAAACAGGAAATATTTCAAAATAGAAGGATGTCTCCAATAAGCTCCCCTGAAAACCAAATATAAAGGAATTGGTTTCTTCTAGTGTTTTTCAGCATGATCTATTATTCTGTTTCATTTAAAAAGTATCTTAACAGTTCTTATCCTGCCCAAAAGAGAGTACCAAGAGTATACTTATATCAAAGTGGTAATGATAAAGTATTTTATAATTCCAGATAATAAAAAAATCTTGCATTTAATATACAACTTTATAAAGAACTACCAATATTTTTTACAAATATACCTATGCCTAAGAGTTAGGCTGGACTACGATGAGGGGACAAAACTTCTGACACCCTTCGCATAAACTCTTATTGTATGATTATTACCAACAGTGTATTATATGAAGGGACAGTTATATTGCTAATGCTGCAAAGGTTGTTTCTCACTGGAAGACTGCGATCATTCACCAGCAGTCTCCTGGGGAATGCATCTCTCAGAAAACTGAAACCAAACAAACAAAAAAGGCACAGGGATGAGCTGCAGAACAGGAATCTGACTTTCTTGGTCTTGATCATCAATGCGTTTGGGAGGAAGCACCTATATGAAGGGATGTGAAAAGAAGCTCTCCATCAGTGAATAGGTCAAAAGGTAGGAATTAGAAATTCCAGCAAAATGTCCTGAAGTTGTCCCCCCTCTTTGGAGTAGCTATCTCAAGGCAACAATGGAATAGGGCAGGCCCCTCCAGACAAGACAGTAATAACACTTTATAATCCATAATGCCATTGTGCTGCTTATTTTCTCTGTTTATCCTATGGTTGTTCTCCTCTAGTACTAAATTTTGATAAAGACTTTTATAAGCTGTAGTCTTTCTTAGTTTTTCAAAGGCAAAACAAAGGGATTGGAGTTTGGTATACACTTGAGTCAGAGGATGTCAGCTTGGGGTAGCAGCAGTAATCAAAGAAAGATAACCCCAAAAAGTAAGGTGAAATTCACAGGTGAAAGTTAAGAAACAGACCTTTGTGTTCATCCTCTTTCCCTCCAAACTTGCCCTCCTCCCAAAAAATAAAAACAAAAACAAAACCCCAGAGCACAACCTGGTTAAATCTTCAATGTTACAAACCAGGGGTTTCTAAGAAAATATAATTTTTCAGAACAAAGTGGAAACACACTATTTCTAATGCTACCTTATTGTATCTTCAACTCAAAACTGCCAGGTAAAGCAAAGATATACAGTATAGTGCCTTACCTTTTCAGATAATCCTAGACTTCAACAAATACAGAATTAACCAGATTTGCTGATAAGCCTAATCAGCAATTAGATGAGCCACTGCAAGGTAAAGGTTTCTTTGATTCCAATACCATCACTCCTAGAATAAGCACCTCATCTTTCCCAAAGAAAAAAGTAAATTTATATATCACAAAATGCTTTAATCCCATTTTCAATTTTGAAATATGTTATTTTTGATCAAAAATTTAAATTAGAAGTGGCCACCACGGTTTTGTGGAAATGAGTACTGAATCTTTACCCTAGACATTTGGGCTATAGTCTTCCTTCTGCTACTTGTAATTCTGAGAAAGTTGTTGACACTCTCTGTGCCTCAGTGTCCTCATCTGCACACCGAAGGAGTTAAACTATAAATTCACTAGTTCTCTGGAAAATAACTTTCCAAAAACACAAACACAGCTGATTATGTTCCTCTAACATGCTTCTATTTAGAAAAAGAAGTTTCAAAAGGCTGATATTTCTATAAAAAAATTTCAAGAGAGTCACAAGTTGGTAGAAATACACGATTCCTCCTTAAGGGAAATCTCTAAAGAGAAAAAACAAAAAAGGCAGACAGTAAAGTAACTCTGTTATCTAGACAAATCTAGAGTCAAATCTCTCCTCTCAGTGAAGTTATTCTATGCATATAATTAAGCATTACAAAGAACCAAAGTAACATTTAGCACATTATTTAAACATAACCACTATTGTACTGTAGAAGTCCTTGAAACTTTTTTTTAATAAAGTCTTCTTTATTTTTTATTTTTTTTTTTGAGGAAGATTAGCCCTGAGCTAACTACTGCCAGTCCTCCTCTTTTCTGCTGAGGAAGCCCGGCCCTGAGCTAACATCCATGCCCATCTTCCTCTACTTTATACGTGGGATGCCTACCACAGCATGGCGTGCCAAGCGGTGCCATGTCCGCACCCGGGATCCGAACCAGCGAACCCGCGAACCTTGGGCCACCGAGAAGCGGAACATAGGAACTTAACTGCTGCACCACCGGGCCGGCCCCAGTCCCTGAAACTTTTAAGTTCAAATCAGCAAAACCTAATGTTTTCTACACTACTGGTCACCTAAGGAAAAAAAATTATTAAGTCTGCCAGGTGGCTACTGTTGGAGTTGTATTGTAAAATACTGATGGGGGGATGGGAGTTCTTATGAAGATTAAAGACTTAAGAGAAAAAAATGCACTAAAAAAAATAAATTGGAATCATAGTTCAGTCTATATAGATCATCTGCACCCCCTGAAGATCACATTTTCAGAAACATAACCCACTCAGTGCCAAATACTTCCCTAACCTGCTATTTTAGGTAAAGCTGACAGAAGAGATTTAACAATAGTTTAGGTGTGTTAGCATCCATTTCTTTCTAGCCTTACAAGTAATTAAGTAAATAGACCGAGTACCAAGAAAAATGGTTTTGTCAGTGACAATAATAGAGAATTCCAAGAGTTAGAGGAAACTCAGGATGTCAGAGCTGAATGAGTTGGTCAAAGCTGCTCTATGATCAAAAATTCTCCTTCCAGTTCTTTTCTCTGCCTAAACCTTTGAGATTCTGTATTTTAACATAGTAAGCCTCTACTTGCATACAAGATAGAATACAAACCACCTGAAAGCCTAGGATATCCTCTTGTCATCTTTGGCACTCGTCTAGTCTGTTCAAGACGCATCAGGAATTACATGAAACTCCCAAACTCCTAGAAAGATAGTCTTATCAGCCCTCCTGCGTTTGAGTCTCTGCCACACAAAAGCAGCAGAGTCTGGTGGAATAAAGAAACGTGTAAACAGACAACTTACAACACAAAGTGGCAAATGTTACAATATAACACTGGTGGGACTTACAACAAAATAACAAAGCAGGGAGGAACTCTATCTAAACTTGGGCAAAGGCCCTGGCTAGAGAATTCTGACTGGCAGGGGCATTCCAAGGTCAACTGTATCAGACTTTATGGAGAATCTACAATGTAGTGCTGCTCCCTGGCACCACAGATACACAGAGAAACAAGATGCAGTTTCCTACCCCTTAAGGAGCTTAGAATCCAAAGAACAATTTAGTATGTGTTTGGAAACGAAATAATGAGAGTAGCCTTTTTAAAGAAGGCAGAGTCATGTTGGAAAGCAGTCGGAGACTAAGTTTGTAAATGAAATCTTATTATTAGTTTGAAGAGCTAAGGCTGAATCTAATGAAAAATAGGGGAAAATTAAAATAGAAGAGTGATCCAAAATTATTCAAGACAACCTCATGAGATAAGGAAACTGAAGGTTTCCAGTTAAAAGAACAAAACCAAAACTGAATAAGGTGAGTTTTTAGCTCTACAGTTTGTTATACTAATGGAGTTCCATGAAAAAACCGCAGGAACAATAATGCACAATAGTTAAAAGCACCAGATTTCAACCAGCCCCCCTGAGCTCACCATTCAACTCCACCACTTTCTAGCTATGTCATTTTTGGAAAGTTACTTAAAACTTCTCTGCCTCAGTTTCCTCATCTGTAAAATCGGGTGCCTGTAGAAGCAGAAGCAGTTTCTTCAAAACACAGGTGTTATTATACCACTCTACTAAAAAACTTTATTTACAAAATCAAATCTACATCTTTAACGCACTTTAGCCTCCATAATCTGTCCCCAACATTTCTCGTCTTAATCCTCATTGGATACCCTCCTACTTCCACGAACCACAAGGATCTAGTGTCAGTTCTGCAAACCAGTAAGCACTTTGCCACTTCTGTGCCTCATCTCCGGCGGCTGTATGTCTAGAAGGCCTTTCACTCACCATCTTTAAAAGCCCACTCCTCCAGGAAATTGACTCTCCTCCACCTCCAATTCCAGAGCACACCTGCCTGCTCCCCCGTACAGTTTACTATTCCCTCTGTTTTTGTGTTTGTTCTTTTAATGCCTCCCTCTCTTCTCCTTTCACTAAGACAGTGAACTTCCAGCGAGCGGGGGCAAATGTTTTTCATCCTCGCTCCCATCCCTCATCTCAGACTGTGCCTACACAGGCCTGGAAACGCTTACTGAATTACACTGGACGTTTACAACCGTCATGGCCGCAGTTGCAGAAACTGCTTCATTTCGCATAAATTTTTATTGCTTTCAGATCCTGAAATCTTGACATGAAACGTCTTTAAAAATCAGAACATCGCCATCCTTTCGAGAAAAGTTCTACGGAGCACCCACACGAGTTGACAATGCGGTCACTCTGAGCTCCAGAAGTTGGGTACGTGCCCCGGAGGGCAGCTGCCCCGGGTCCCGACTGTCCTCCGAAATGAGGAGAAAGAGGCGGCGGGGCGGCCCGGGCAGTACGGCCGGGCTCCAGTCGGCCCCCAACTTCCCGCGGGCCTGGGGGCTGCGGCCGCGCTCGTCCCCCGGCGCCGCGCCTCGTTCTCCAGCCCTCGCCGCCCCTGGTCCCGCCGGAGCGACACCCCCGGCGCGGCAGGTCCTCCCGGGCGGATCCGCTCGGGCCTGCGCCCCGGCCGCCCTGCCGGCCCTGCCCGCGGTGCCCAGCCTCTCCGCGGCCCGCCGCCCGGGGCCCAGGCCGCGCCGCCGCCGCCGCCGCCCCGAGGGGAGCGGGGGCACTCGCTGGGCTCCGCGTGGCGCCGGGGGCGGAGCCGGCCCGGAGGGCCCGGGGAGAGGCCGGGGGCGGGCAGCGGCCTCCGCCTTCCCCGACACGCACCCCACCGCCCCCAGCCCCAACCCTCCTGGGAGCCCCGGCCCGCGTCCGCAGCCGGGCGGCCGGCGGGACTCGCCACTTACCAACCCGCCTGGGACAACGCCGCACCGGGGACCTCGGCCATGGTCGCTGCTTAGGCCGGGGGTGGTGGGGGGCTGGGGTGGGGGTGGGGGGGAGGCCTCCTACTTGAGACCAAATAAAAAAAAAAAAAGAAAAGAAAAGAAAAAAAAAAAAAACTCCTCTGGTCGGCTGTGCAACTGGGCATGCTCAGTGCGGCCGGCGCTTCCGCGTGCGGGTTCCGCTCGCCGCGTTTTCCGAGCGGCCGCGGGAGCAGGCCCGGCGTGGGGCGGGAGGCTGCGGCGCGCCCCCGGCGGTGGTCCGCCTGAGAGGAGTGGGGCCGGGACGTAGGGGTCCGGTTGTTCGCCAAGACCGCGAGCCCTGGCCTCTCCACCGAAGGGTGGCTGGTTTTTGTTTGGGACACTTTTCCGAGTTGCACACCTTGGAAACGAGTGGGGCGGTTCTTTGTAGAGCAGGCGGCAACGTCGGCGTTGCCACTGCCGACAGGCGGTCACCTCGGAGAGGGCGGGATAATGCTAGAGTGCCGGTTGCGGGGAAGCGCTTCCAGTACGGCACTAAAAAAGCCACGTTTCGGGCAATAAAACTCAAAGGTAAGGCATTCCCAGCCCAGTCTGCACAGAACATTTTACTTTCTTGTAACGACTCGCTCCATTCACCCCGCTTTTCGACGCGCCCCGACGCAAAGAAAAGAATGCAGTCGGGTTTTTTGGAGGCCCCACCGGCAAAGCGGGTTGTCCAGGTCGGACATAATGGAAGTGAATGGTCAACCCAAGAAAACCTGCACTTAAGGGACGTGAGAAAATCGGGAAGTTGTGTCAGTGCTTGTTTTTCTTGTCGCTGTGCCACTGGGCCTGATCCTACCCCACCCTGGGACGTTGGTGCGTACACTTCAAAGCATGGTTCCCATGCCCGTTAAAAGCCACCTGACGGGTAAAGCTCAGGGGCGGATCCCCGAGTGAGCATGCGCGGCGGCGTCGCCGAGCGGCGCGAGGGCGCTCTAGCGCGATTGGGCGGCCGAGACCCACGCTAGCCAATCAGGGAGGAGCAGGCGGAAGAGGCCGCCCCCTGGGGAGACTAAAAGTTTGCCCCACCCTCCAAGGTGTTTCACCTCTACGATGCGCTCGGGAAAAGGAAGCTTTTGAGCGTCTGTGGTCCCAGCTGCCAAGTCTAGGGCAGAGACTGTTAAGAACTTAAACCACATTGCGGCGGTTGCTTCATCTGAAGCAGTCATAACAAACACAGACTTAAAGCAGAGACTGCGGAACTGGGCAGAGCCGCTCCTGCGACTGGGGAGTAAATTGACAGTTACAGAAGGAAAGAGATAATTGCCCTGGGTGGAGCTAAAATGGCTTAGTACAAATTTTTCTCATTTTAACTTGGGTGTTCCATGTGGGCTTCCCGAAAGTCATAGTTTTAAAATCTCAATGCTTAGCTTAGCTCTAATGGTATTGAAATACGTTTCCAAGCAGTTTTAGAATCAGAAATAACTCCATCCTGTTCCCTACAATTTATAGTAATATGCAATGTTTAAGCCATTGTATGCTACAAATATATTTCGATAGGCACCAGTCATCATATCCTGGAGTCAGGAAAAGATTTACCATTCCGAAAGTAAATAGGTGACTCAAAATTAAATTGCTAATCATTTTTGTTGGTTGTTAAATAGTATCTTTTCTTACAAATTATTTACGTTTTGCAATTAGCGTGGCTTGGTAACAATGAAAATGATATGTTGTCCTAATCATCAGAATTCGTCACTGCTTAATGTGAAGGCTTTACACATTTGTTCTCACATGAAGTGTAATACAACAAGAAATTATCATTGCGTGCTGCCTACAATAACTTTAATAAAACGCTCCACAGAACACTAAGTTCCCATACTTCAGGAAATGCTTTAAAGAATGGGTTGAGGATTCACCTTGCAGAAATTTGAAACAGTATGAGCATCAAAAAGAATAATTACAATAATTGAAGAAAAATTTGGATAAAGAAAATGCATGAGTTCAGAGTGCCACTAAAAGAAAACCAATAAGGGAGGATGAAAACTTTTCTTTCAGAGGAATACCAGATAATAAATGTAAAACAAACAATAAAATTAGAAAAATCATGATTTTCCAAATCGATGACAGTTGATTCAGGCAAAGTTATCAGAGGATGCTGCAAGCCACTGGGTGAATGTTTGTAGGAGTACAGGATCTTCACATGCTCTCAAAGTATCAAGCCATAACTTACTTATTACAAAAGGGAAAACATACCTTTACCTTAAAGAAAAAACCACTGCCTTAAACAAGTGACAAATGCTGGAATCACTAATAATGGGATAATCTGATATTATGTGCTTACTAATGTAATGCAATTAGAAATATACATCATCTAAGAAATACTCTTGCCAAAATTGTTTAACTTGAATTTAACCAAGCTTCTAGACAATGGTTCCCAACCAAGGGGTGGATCCCCACCCTACTCCCCACCTCTTATTCCGCAGGGCACATTTGACAATGTCTAGAGACATTTTTGTTTGTCATAAACAGAGGGGGGGAGAGTTGTTACTGCATCTCATGGGTATAAGCCAGGGATACTGTTAAATATCCTGCAAGGCACAGGACAGCCTACCCCAAACTAAAGATTAGCTGGCCCAAAATGTTGAGAAGCCCTGGTCTAGATATAATCACAAATCTAAAGCATATGTAGGCGATATTGGAATAAGTTAAACATGAAGAAAAAGGCAGATAAATCCAGAATGTGGCATGTTTCACAAGAAACCTAGCCTGGACTGTTCAAATGAGCCAATGTAACTTTTTTAAAAAGGAGAATTCAAGGGGCCAGCCAGGTTGTGTAGTGGTTAGGTTCATGCACTCCCCTTCAGGAGCCCAGCATTTGTGGCTTCAGATCCCAGGCATGGACCTACACAGCACTCAATCAAGCCATGCTGTGGCATGTGTCCTACATACAAAATAGAGAAAGATTGGCACAGATGTTAGCTCAGGACCAACATTCCTCACCAAATAAAAGAGAGAATTCTTTCAGATTAAAGAGATTCAAGAGCCATGACAACTAAATGCAATCCTGGATCTTAAAAAAAAGATTTTGTGGTCCCTAATCTTGGAAATTTTATGCCACACCATTTATGGCTGAAGAGTTGTGGTATCTACAACTTATTTTCCAATGATTCAGAAATAAATAAATATATATATATATATATATACACACATATATGTACATGTGAGAAAGAAGGAGAAAAAATAAATGTGGCAAAATGTTAAAAATGAGTGAATCAAATTGAAGGGTCCAGATGCTCATTATGTATACTTCTGAAATTTTCTCTAAGTTGAAACAAAATAAAAAGTTAAGGAAAACATACGGATTATACTAATTTCTTTCATACCAAAAATTTTTAATTGGAATTTTATAGTTCTGTTATAGTTCAGTTAGTCCTGTATAGTTCAGTTAGTTCCATTGAAAATGGTAGCAGCTGACTAGTCGAAAAAATGGATTTCCATTTTATTAAGATAAATCATTGATATACAGTAAATGTAAGGTCTACAGTGAGCTGAAAGTTGGTGGAAATGCCAAGGATAAGAAAAGAGCTTTGTTAGGTACAAGAGGACAAAAAAGAAGAGTTAGATTTATCTTATTAATTTATTGGGCTCAATGGAATAGGTGGACCCCTTCCTCACATCATATACAAAAGTTAACTCAAAATCAAATATAGATTCAAATGTAAGAGCTAAAAATATACTGCTCCTAGAAGAAAATTTAGAAGTAAATCTTCATGACCTTGGGTTAGGCAATAGATATATCCAAAGTACAACTGAAAAAAGAAAAATTAGATAAATTGGACTTCATCAAAAATTAAAATTTTTTGCTTCAAAGGACACCATTAAGACAGTGAAAAGACAACCTACAGAATTGGAAAAAATATGGGTTAGTACTGAGAATATATAAAGAACTCTTACAACTCAGTAGTAAAAAGACAACTCAGTTAAAATATAGGCAAAGCATTTGAATAGATATTTCTCCAAAGAAGATATACAAGTGGCCGGTGAGTAAATTAAAAGATGCTCAACATCATTAGTCATTAGGGAAAAGCAAATCAAAAACACAATGAGATAGTTCACACCCACTAGAATGTCTGCAGTTAAAAAGAAGGACAAAAACAAGTGTTGGAGAGGATGTGGAGAAATTAGAACTTTCATACATTGCTGATGGGAAGGTAAAATCGTGCAACCACTTTGGAAAGCAGTTTGGCAGTTCCTCAAAAAGTTAAACATAGAGTTACCATAGGACTCAGCAATTCTACTCCTAGTTATATACACAAGAGAAATGGAAATATATGTCCACACAAACATTTGTGTGTGGCTGTTCATATCAACATTATTCATAATAGTCAAAAAGTGGAGAATGAGTGATGTCAGCAACACGGCATAGTGAGCTATTCCCTTTACCTCCCCCCCTTCAAAGTACAACTAAATGGACATTCACTGATCAATGGAGGATACCCACACAGTACAACAGGACCCTTGAGAGACTCATGCAGCTATACATCTGAAGGTTGATGGACTACCCCTGGGGAGGGATTGGAGATAGGTGAACACTCTCTGGCTGCCCAGCAGCCCTGTGCATCCATGTGATTGCTCTCCCAGCTGGAGTGCCCATAGCACTGCTGCAGCCCCAAGGGTGGGAGTGTGCCTTGGCACAACTGCAGGAACAGGTGATGGCAGTCCTGAGTGCCACATGATCGCTTTCCCATCTGGTGGGAGAGTCTACAATGCTGTCATGGTCTGCAGAGAGTGGCTCAGGCTTGGACCCAGTGGTGAGGCCCCACGCAACAAGCACAACAGCTGGTGCAAACTAGGAGGAGATGGCAGTGGATCTGCATGCCCAGGAGAACAAGTTCCCAGCTACCACAAATCCCCATAGTACTACTATGGCCCAGAAGTGGGGAGTGCATCTCGACAGGACTTTGGGAACAAGTGGCAGCAGGACTGAGCCCTCATGTGGTCCCTTTCCTGTCCAGTGGGAGAGCCCACAGTGCTGCTGTGGCCCCCAGGGAGTGGCCCAGGCTCTCATCCAGGGGGGAGGTCCCAT